TCTGTGAATTGCACTTTTTGGCTGGAATTTAAAAAAAATTTAAAAATCCCTTTCTCCTTCCTTCATCCCTTGTGGATGTTTTCTCTGCTCCTACATTTCTATTAGCGACCAAGGTGTCTCCTGCTGGGTCTGCACAAGTCTCTGCAGTCAAACAGGGAGAGACTACATTTTGTCACTGCTACTTTGCAGACTGATAATATTGTAGTTTGCAGGACTGTGTGGCATTCTCACACTAAGGCATGCAACAGTGCTCTCCACACTACTAAATGGCTGGGCTAGCCAGAGGTTAGTCCTGTCACAGTGATTAGCCCTGTGAGTTTAAGTCTGGTTTGCCACTGCTGTACAGGAGCATAACTGGGGTTTCAGGACAGTCCCTATAGCAAGAGCTTCTGCAGTGACCAGCTGGGGATGGAACTTGAGTAGAGCTGCTCAGGTCCTCCTGTAGGACAGGCAGAGGTGCTGTGTTCTTCTCCTCTAGTGCTGCCTCATACCCACAGTTGTCAACACCCAACCCCAGGCACATTCGAGAGACTGTCTTTTCAGAAATGGCATTCGCTGGTGGAAATTAAGCCTCTTTAAAGCTTGAGTCAAACACCATAAAAACACAAACTGTTGCTGTAAATCTGGATGTGTTTTTCATGAGTTCAAAAAGAGAAGAGTGCACAGTCAGAGTCTCACACCCCTTGTGTGCCCGAGGTTCTGCACTATGTGCATTAATGAGAACCAGAAGGGACAAGGTGCAAGGGGATGTGTGTGTGAGGGGAGAAAGGGAAATGAAGGTGGCAGTGACTGTGTCCGTAGGTGTGAAACAAACACCAGCACTTGCTGCAGAGGTGCATAGGAGACTGGGGATCCAAGGAATGGCTTTTTGAAAAAGGGGACAGCCAGTAAGGGCTCCCCTGGTGAACAATCTCTCTTGTTTAATGGAGGGTTTGGCAGTGATCAATATTTGTTTATGGTATTATGTTCAATTCACTAAGCTCCTTGCTGCTTTTCACCTTTTGCAGTGGTTAACCACCTCCCTCTTCCCCGAGCCCTCGAGAGAGAGCAGCAGGACTGGGGATGGGGCAGCAGGGGGATGGGGACCAGGTGCTTGAGGAATGGGGAGATGCAGGAGATGTGGGGAGATGTCAGAGGCAGCAGATGTCACTGATGAGGCCTTTTGTTCCTTCACACTCACCAGCCTGAGCTCTGGGACCACCTTTTTTTTTTTTTTGTCTCGCCATTGTCATTCACCCAGGAAGGACTTTATAGGAGTTAGCTTCACACAGGCTCATCTCTCTCTCTCTCTGCACCCCACTGGTCCAACAAAACAGCTGATTGCCGTGATCCATTTAGATCACTTTCCATTAACATTTAAAAAACTCTTGACAGTTAATGCTGACCACTTAAAATCAGCTAGTGTCTTACAGGGCTGTTTAGTCTCAACGACTTGACTTGCTGCTCCCCTTGGCAGGACCATTTTTAATCCTAGTTAAGAGAAAGAAGAGCCAGGGTGCACATGTCCTTTGCCTTAGTGAATGCAGAGAGAATGAGAGCCCAGACAGGGATGTCAGACCCCAAACAGGGGGTCAAACTGAACGAGAAACTGGAGTGCCTATTGCAGACAGTGTATCACTGTAATCACTGTCATGGAAAATGTCGCTTCCATCCCATATTTGAAGATGCCAAGAAATTAAAGTGGTGGCTTTAATACAGCATGCAAAGCCAAGCCCAGTGCGGAGGTGTGCAGGGATGTTTTGATTTCTGCTCCCTCAGCTCAGAAATGGCTAGCTGGAGCATGGAGATCCATGGTGCCTGCTCAGGAGGGACCCACTAGCCAGGGCTGCCCAGCAAAGTGATTGAGCCTTAACAGTTAGTTGGTCATAAATATTCCTCTTTTAACTTAACTTGCAGTGCAGCTTCCTTCATGTTCATGACCCTCTGCACTGTGCAGTCACCCTGGGAACCTGTCAGATAAAAAAAGTTCAGAGGACGCACGTGCTCCCTCCGTTTCCATCTTCTCATCTGTGTATAAATATCTGAAACCCCACTGAGGGCTGAGCTGGCCAGAGCTGCACGTTCACCTGGATGCTGACAGCGTGGCCACAGAAGGTGCAAGTAAATGTGCAAATCCTTAGGGAGGAAAACCTCAGCTCACTGGACACACATGAGGTACACATATACACTAAAAGAGCATTCCCTAGTATCTTCTAAACCCCATCGGGCAGTGACCGTAGTATATTTGCATTGACAATCATTGCATTCTCCTTGCAGGAAACCAAAATATGCTGGCAGGCAACTCAGCTTGCCCTCCCCTCCCCTGCTCCCTGCTGGTCCATTTCTCCACACCCTGCTGTGAAGTGTGCAGAGCCAAGTGCCATCCCCACTGTTCCAGCCCCAGCACAGCTGGGACTCTCTATTCAGAAGGAAGAGGATGATGCTATAGGGTAGTTAAATGCTATAGGGTTGTTAAATGCCTTTTTTAGTGCTCAATCCGGATCCATCATCTTGCTTGCAAGTGGGAGTGAACTCAATCCAGAACTGAATGGCCTCAGCTTCCATGAACTATAGGGGCACTTAAGGCCCAATCCATCAAGACACATTGGGTGCCTTTGACTTCCAATGCAGTCAGCTGCTACACAGCAGGACAAAGACTAGAACTCCCAGTAAGAGAGACAGTTTGACTTAGTAATGACTTACAAATGACACAGAAACACCCTTCATCCATTTGCTAGTTCCTCAAATACACACCTTCAGTGTCTCTGACAGAAAACAAGGCATAGCCCATTAGTGTGCACTATAGCCTCCAATAATTTATTTTCATCCTGGCAAAAATGTAATATTAATAATTAGCATTGAAATTTACATATACAGATTTAATGTGCAAGACAACCAGTACCTTCAATCACAAGTCCAAGCAAAACCCTTCACATACTCTTACAGGCAATGCATCATATACTTTAAAAGGTGCAAATATTTTAGCAAAAGATACTTGGGGGTTCTTCAAAGCAGAAGAAAATGCACACAACTAAGAGATGCACCATTTAAATAAATAATCCTCATTCAGAAAAAACAAGAAAGTTTCCTTCATGGCAAGCTAACCATGCATTTTATAGTACTTGAAAGTAATTCTTAGCCATAACATTTATTTCATTAGTAGGTAATTGATTTCACCAAATCCTGAATTATTTAAGGCATCAAATCAGTAAAGCCTTCATACACAGTATTCATGTGTCTGTTGGCCAGGATTCTGTATGCTTGTTTAAAAACACCTAACAGGATGTAGCTTGAAGCAAGATTCAGTTTCCCCACCTGTTCTTCAACATAGCTTGTAAACATAAACGCTGTGATAATATTCTGCTCAGAATTGAATTTTACCTATTTAGAAATCACAAGTTCAGCTTTCAATATGCACAAAATTCAGCCTGATAGATTTTAGTAACATTTGATATTAAGAAAAAAAGAGTCAGAATATGATTTTCATTCTGCCCTAAAGCTTACATGTACATATGTACAATACAAATGGGCTTGTGTATTTCAGATAATTCATAGTGGTGAGCCTCAATATTTTACTTACAAGTGATTCAATAAATATTGAAAAAATATTTTTACCATGAAAACAAGGACAGAGCAACTTAAGGTACAAGACAACTTATAAAAATTAGTGCAAATCAATATATTTATGAATGCAATATCTGCATGATATAATTAAATGTACAGCTGGGTTTTTCATAGTTCTACGCTGTATTTAAAGAGACTGTTATTGGCACAAAATAAACACTTTTCTTTCTTATACTTCATGTGCAAAATCCCTGTTAATCCTACATGATCTAGGATACTAAGAAAAGAATCTCATCATTCTAGTAACATTGAACTACCTGTGTTCATCAACCAGCTCCAGCAAGGCCTTCTGTTATCCTGGATGTGATGCACAGTCCCATGGACACAGAGAGCCCCTCCCAGATGCACAGCTCCATGTCAGTCGGGCTGGGCACTGAGTGATGAGAAAAACTTTCACACTTTATTTTGAGCAGAGGACAGGAGTGCCACTACAGCAGCCCTCTGCCATCCAACATAAAGCCAGGAGGAAGCAGAGTGGCCCACCCTGGCCAGGACCAGACAGGTTCAGGGAAATTCAGAAAGACAACTGCACTGGTGGGACTGTGTCTGCTCCTGGCCTGTGCTGAGCCCACAAAGAAATGCCTCTATGAGGCCACTTGATTGCTCATGACCCACGTGAGAGCTCACTGATGCCTGGGAACTACATGTTTGGTCCTCTAAATTCTGAGATGGCAAAACCAATCTTGACTATTTGCTAGATGGCATGTCAGACCTGCATCTAACTCATCACTCTCTGCTCCTCTCCCTGTGGACTAACTAGCATCCAGCACCCTCTGGAAGAGCTGGTTTCACAGTCCTGGAGCTCCCTGTGTCCCAGCAGCTGAACGAAGGAATGAACATGAATGAATACAAATACCTTTGTGTTCATCCAGCAGTCAGTGTCTGAGGCAGTTCACATTTAAATAAATCATTAAAAGACTCCCAGGTTAAGGGGAAGCAGATCCCACAAATGTGGTCATATGTCCAAACAAAATGAACAGGTTAAATCAGTTTTGAGAAATGCACTTGATAAAAACATCCCTCACAGAAGCTTTGGTAATAGACTGCACCAGGCAGCTCATACACATGGTGCATTAGAGACACAAACATTCTTCAGAATAGTATTTGTGCACAAAAGGTTTTGGGGAGGTAAAATTCCCTCCTGATTAGGGTATGAGAGGAAGGGAAAGTTTGGGTAGTGAATGTTCTACTCCATCCCAGCATGGCATCAGGGTGTACCCAAGAAACTCCTGTGCCCTGCACCCAGTCATATGCCCTGGGTCCAGAGGTTGGACCTACCCCAAGAGTCATTGCACAGGTGTCACCTCCTGCAGTATGGCAGACAATGAATGATGCACAGATACACATAGGCCAATACACGTGTGAGCTGGTCCAGGACACATCCACAGGGCTCCTGACTAATGAGCAGCACTAATCTTCACGTGGAAGTTGTAGTCCTCCTGCTTGGGGAAGTGCTGGCCACACTCTGAGCACGTGCAGCCCCCTTGTCCTTGTCGTGGGTGCGCCGCACGTGGCTGTCGTGGGCTGCATGTGAAGCAAAGGCTTTGCCGCAGTGTTTGCACTTGAAGGGCTTCTCCCCGGAGTGCTGGCGGATGTGAGTGCGCAGGATACTGGATGCTGTGAACGCCTGAAAGGGCAGGGCAGGGATCAGAAAGGGGAATTAGTTGAAAGCAATTTATTTTCACGTACGTAATCCCTACCTTCAGCTAACCCAGACCCCATCAGAACCACTGTATCCTGAATAGAAGTCCTGAAATAGCTCACATCCTCAAGACAACTGGAGAAGAAAGAAAAAATTCCCAGCAATGAGGAATCAGAAGCCAACAAGTATTGCTATACAGATGTGATTGCATCCATGGAGATAGATGAAGCTCAGAGAAAGATATCTGGATAAAGACACCAGTAAATATCTTCTCAAATGTAAGAAGTCAATACTGTCCTAATTAGCTTTGCAGCTCTTATGTTTGGCAAACATAATGCAGGTTTTTCTTTCAGTTTTCATTTTCAAAGTTAAACCCTTCCACTGGCTTGGGATTCAGCTGCTAAAACTCATCCATGCAGTCCACCATACATCTTTTGGGGGTTCATTTTCCCTGCCCTTCCTTCAGTCAGACCTTCCAGCCTGTTCCCCACCACTACGCACACACTTGAGTAGCCAAGTGTGCACTTTCACATTCTGCCCCCCTCATAAATACTCCTCATCCATTTGGGGATAAAACCTTCTTGCCAAAACATAAAACAGCAATGTTGCAAAGTTGCCTGTGTTTTACCCATATTTTCTTTCCCAAGGGAGACACTTTCAGGCCCTTCACCATTTGCAGACCACACAAAATAAATCCTCTCTAGTAAGTTTTCACAGCAAACAACAATGCCTCAGATACCTTTTCACTAGCAACCTTAGAGCACAAGCAGATTGGAGATTGCTATAGATAAGTCCCTGGAGGTACATATCAAGGAAGCTAAAATATGTTCGAGGGACAGAGAATGGTGACATTGATCCAACACTATTCCTTTAATCTCAGTGTCACCAAAATAGTGACCACTTTGCTTTCACAGCAAAGGGAATAGAAAAGCAAAGCCATGGTTAGAGGTAGACAAGGAAAATAGGAATCATGATTGCATAGGAGGAGCAGGCAATGAAAACAACTAAAACAGCCCCTGGTCTCCCAGCCTCATAAGTGATGGCTGTGTCCCACAACAGCTGCATCCTGCAGCCTGAGGACTAATAGTTTAACCTGAGCCAATCCACAACAGTCGCACCAGAAATGGCTGGGGACTGGACAAGCGTCTCTAGAAGATGTTACAGAGCAACTTGTAAAGCTCTGCCACCTCCTTCTGTGATCAGAAGACTAAAGGAGCTTCTCCTAAGGTTCTTTACTACAGGACACCAGCATTCTGTTAGTCCAGCCAGTCATAAACAACATTGCTTTCTCCAAAATCAGGAACAGCTTACTGCATGCTGATGGTGGTTCTGCATTGCATCTGGAGCCCTACCAATACTCATCCAGCAGCAGCCTGTAAATCCACCTTCTGTCTGCTGGGAGAGCTCACCTGAATCATCCCTGCTGTGATGGGCAGTAACAGCTGAGGACCTTTTTGCTCAGTGCTGTATGGCTGTTTGTGTTCTTCGTGAAATGAAACCTCCAAGCCCAGCTGCATATCAACAGCCTGGTGGTTCAGCCTATAGATCAAATTTGTTCACTGCAATCCATAAGAAGTGCCAATAATATGAATAACTACCTATCTGATGAAAAAGTGGTATATTGGATCTAACTGCATGCCTTGGATGGTATTTGCAATACTCCCAAGCTTTCCTAGACCTTATTCCTGCAGCAGATTGCTGATATGGGATGAATCACAAATTCCATGTCAGTTGGAAAACAGACCCTATTTCTTCAGTCCCATCCAGCCCAGTCACTTTACCTCATAGCTACCCAGAATATATACTCACTTATCTGGTTACCAACTTAAATACAAAGCATTTTCTCAAAAGAAAACAGAGCACAGCAGAGGACAGATGGAGTAATGGGAAAGGGCTTTGCCTTACCTTGTTGCAGTAGACACATTTGTAGGGACGCTCCCCAGAGTGAACCCTCATGTGTTTGTTCAGGCTGGAAGATTGAGAAAAGCTCTTCCCACACACAGGGCACTGGGGGGGAAACAAAGGGAGTAAAGTTAAAAGGAAGCATACAACAGCATCATTAAAAAGAAAAATTAGGTATGTGGATGATGGGTACATGTATTTTCCTACATATATTTATATATATACACATATATTTATGCATTCATGTATATATGAACACAGGAATAATTTTATGCTGTAGCAGTTTGAAATATCCAGAATTTTAGTCTGGTTTTATGAACAGGTTTTATATTTATAGTATAAAGGAAAATA